AGAAACTGGCTTAATCCAGTAGTCTACTGGAAAATCCAGTAGAGTTGGCAGCTATGGTCATATTAAGAATCAATCAGATGATACAATATTGTGTTTTAAGTTGTAATTCAGCTCAATATTTTTTTAAATAAAATTTGTTATTCTTAATTTGTATTAAATGTTACTTTTATGTAGAATACGAATGAACTTATTTTTTAAAAAATGAAATCATTAAAATTCATAAATAAAACAAAATATATAATTAGTGTTAATTAGCTGAATTACATTAAAATTCAACAAAACTATTATTGAACTTACATAAATTAATAAACAAAATTGAAACATTTTATATATATAGTAATTCAAGATTACCAAAATTATAAATTTCAGTGTTTAAGGACACAACATATTCTTTATTGTAACACAAGCTGAATACTCGTTTTTCATACGGAGTGTACATATACCTTGGCCACCAGAATTAAGTATTCCCTGTGGCTTTACAGTATTAGACTAAGTGAAACAAATTTTTTGTAATTTGTCTCGTTAGAATAATTAACTATACTCAGCATTACTTGGCATGAGGCTATTGCTCGCGGCCAACATTTACCATTGTCGAATAATTTTATCCGGTAATAGTTTATCAAGGGGCCGTATACAGAAACAAGTTTTAAAAGAATTACTATAAACAAAATTAACACAAAAGATAAAATAACTTTAGAAATAGTAATTTGGTGTCACAGTTCAAGCATGCTACCATGTTTAGAGCTGTTCATTGAATTTATCTGACAATAAAAAAATTAATTAAATATTTAAAGTATGTGCATAAAGTTTTTTTTTTAAATCAAATAAGGCTATAGGTTAGCAAATATCACTGTGTTGTGTTATCTTTAAAATTATTTTTTTTAAAAAAAATAGAATTATCTACAGTTAAATTTAAAACAATAACTAACGCTTTTCGTTCATTCTGCTCGAATAATCGGTAGAAAAACGTTCTAATGTCGACAGTGACCGCTCACGTGCTTCGAACGATTAGAATGTCAAATCTCATTGCTCTCAGTCAGATGGTTTAGGAGTCTATAACGAACTCGTGGACAAACATTCAATAATTTTGTAAACATAGATAAGCTTACAAAATGAATAAAATTAAAAGGAAAGTGTAAGGGGAAAAAAAGATTAGTTGATAAGTTGCTTTCAGCAGTTTAAATAAACCATATGGTTCCACATAATATGTGAAGGTGGTAATCAATGCTACACTTGCATTAGTACTTAAATTTTGGCAACTGTAGTATTCCTAGATTTATTTTTGCGAAGTTATATTAATAAGATGATCTAACAAGCTATGATATAAAAAGACCTTAATTAAAACCTCGTTTCCACAACTGATAGGACTAAACTACAGACAGTGGCGTATCTAGGGTATGGCAAGTATGGCGAATGCCATGGGCGCATTATTTCAAAAAGGCGCAAAATCAATCAACATCAACAATTATTTTTTTAATTAAAAATTTTACTAATTTTTTTTCTTCAAGTTATGGCAGAATTAAAAAAAGCATCCAACATTTAACCTTTCCTCGAGGGCTCGAAAAGAAGACATCGAGGTCTTTCGAGGAACTCTTTTTATAACTGGGGGAGTGAAATATGAAAGGGAACCGCTAATAATAAAAACAAAGTAGGGACGAGCGTTAAACAATTTTAACCTCCCACTGTTTTTCATTTTTTTAATAACTTCGTTTGAAAACTCATAGACCACTTCAGTTAGGGATAATAGGAGGGCCAAGGTTTCCAGCGCATTTACATAACTCGAAAAGCGCGGGAAATCTAAGTTGTTAAGTTGTTATATTGGATTCAACATTAAAAAAAAAAATGGGGGAAATAAGAAAAAAAAAAACATTCCACATACTTGATATAACATTCAACTTGACGTCTGTGTAATAACAATTCATACACGTTTCTGCATTCATTCACTAGACACTTTTTCTTTCATTATACTTTCAAGTTGAGCAACAGAGGATTCGAAATAAATAAAAAAAACTTTATATTCATGAATACATTCAAGATAAATACTAAAATAAATCAGTAATTAAAAGTAGCTTTTTCTTTTCTACTATTATATTTACGATGATTTCGGCAAAAACCAAATTTTAATTATAATATCGTAATTTAAAGAATAATGCAGAGTTTTTAATAATTATAATTATAACTCTCTTTACTAACTTTTTGATACNGCGAATAAAATTAAAAGGAAAGTGTAAGGGGAAAAAAAGATTAGTTGATAAGTTGCTTTCAGCAGTTTAAATAAACCATATGGTTCCACATAATATGTGAAGGTGGTAATCAATGCTACACTGGCATTAGTACTTAAATTTTGACAACTGTAGTATTCCTAGATTTATTTTTGCGAAGTTATATTAATGAGATGATCTAACAAGCTAAGATATAAAAAGACCTGAATTAAAACCTCGTTTCCACAACTGATAGGACTAAACTACAGAAGACTATATGTTAAATTTAGACACCTAAATACTTTTTCTTAAATTTATGTGGTTCTAATCGTTATCAGCAACAGATTTAGCATGTTATTTGGTTCATGTATTTTAAAAATTCTAATGCTGTTGCACAATTTTTTTTAAAATATAATTTTAGATATTTATAAAATTAAAGGTGAAGACTTTTAATCAGGGTTCCCACTCAATTTGTGAAAAAAAAATTCCCTTACTTTTCCTAGTAAATTTCAATGAAAATTGAGATCATATTTTTCATTAGAAAACTTGGATTCTTTTATATGTTTTGTAAAATATTAGACTTTCCGTGTAAAAAAATATTAAATGAGGATGGGAACATATTAATTTGACTAAAATATGAAATTTTTTAAAAAAAATAATTGTAATATACAAAAGAATTATTTAACTCGAATCTCAGTGACTGACTGAAAATTTTAAGGCCGGTTATTTTCCAGGCATGTTATAGGAATATTTAAGGTTTTTCTCAAAAAATTGCAACTTTTTAGAGCTAAAATAAAATTCCCTGACAATTCCAGGTCAGGGAATTTTAATAATGGATTTTAGAATTAGACTACTATTAACACATTGCTGACCGGTCATGAGTTAACTCATGTTCTCGTGGCCAAGCGTTGGTGACGTCATAGCGATCATGCTTGCAGTGATCTCGTGGTGACTATTTTAAAAAGTGGGCGTAATTTTCCTTACTTATCAAGTTTTACTATTTAATTCTCTACCAATTTATTATAACTTTACGAAACCCGATATATTTGCAAAATTTGAGGTGAAGCATTATATGTAGGTGATTGTTATACTTTTTATCACACAAATAAGAAATATTAAGAGTTGAATAATAAATAAAAGAATTTAAAGTTTATTTATATTGTATATTAAGTTTATTTATATTGTTATTGAGTACAATCATTTTAGCACAGTAAACAAGTAGCAGAATCAATGTTTTGGCAGTAACCTTACTCCTTTATAGTACAAAAATGGCTCCTCTCTAATTTTTGATCAGTAAATTCATTTTCTAAATTATTTTACATTAGTACAAAGCAGGGCTCGTAATTTAAAAAAAAAAAAGGTAAAGAAAAAAAAAGATTTTTTTATTTTATTTATTCAAATACACTGTAAAAACTTTAATTCGTGATTTTAAAGAATACTTCAGGGGTCTGTATAGGTTTTACTGAGAGGATTGTGAAAATTAGGCATAATTTGTGAAAATTAAAAAATCAACATAAATACGGATTTATCGTTTCTTATGAGACACAAAAATAAAATTTAAGAAAAAAAGTAATTTGTGAAATTATTCTATTTTTTCTAAAATTGAATTTGTTAAGGTACCGTTAAATGGTAGTAAATTTGGCTTGGAGAGACCCCTGTACTTTAACTATTAAAACAAAACTTCATTTAGCCATAATTTTAATTTAAAATTGTGATCAACCATAATTTTAATTTAAAATTGTGATTTATCTTTTTTTTTTCCTCTTAATTTTTAAAATGACAAAATAAATGTAACAGATTGAGTTGATAAATGTAGTCATTCATCAAAAAAGATAAGTTAAAAATTTTTTTTTTTTCTTTTTTGTAAAATCTATGTACTCATTGGAATATTTTTTTACAAAATTTCTTTATAGAAAATCAGATTATGTCAAAGATACTGCAAACATATTATGAGAAAAAAATACCAGTTAATAACCCTACTGCTTCAAATAGACTTGGAAAGGGAAGAATGACACTATATAAAAAAAAAAACCTGAATTCATCAGCCTTTTTCTTTCGTTCTTTGTTTGGCATATTAGGGTAATTTCTTTTTAATATAACCTCAAGCTTCAAAAATATACATTTTCCACCAATAAAATATAATGTAGATTTTAATTCTATTCCTTTTCGTTCAAAAGGTAGAATTTTAATTTACATTATTCACATTAATTTTTGAAAAAAATTCATTGGAATTTAACACACACCAAGAAAGTAATTTCGTTAACTAAAATTAATTAATGCAGCAATTTATTTAAAATAAATTTTAAAGTCAAGGAAAGAAAATAATTTCAAACACTGTTTTTCTTTAACTTTAAAATATATATCTATTAAAAAAAATTTGTTGATTTAAATCAACAAATCCTGGTACAAAAATGCTTTGAGTGGTCACCATTTTTTAAAAGACGAAATTCCCTGTATTTTCCCAGTTTGTTATGAAAAAATCAAAATTCCCTGCTATTTTAGGTGATTTTTAAATTCCCTGTATTTTCAAGGTTTTCCCTTTGGAGTGGCAACCCCGATAAAGGTCTATTTTTTTTTATACTGAATGTTTTTCAAGTTGTTATTTTATGTTTAATTCTTGTACACATTTTATAATAAGCATTCTAACCACAGTAAAATCTCTTAATAAGTATTCTTAAAAATGACCTATCGACTTAGCTGGGATTATAAATTGTAAACGTACTTCATTTTCTTAAATTTTATATCTTTGGAAGAAAAAAAAATAACAATAGAAAACTAGAAAAATTTAGTTACAAAATATAAAAACAAAAAAGTGAAATCATTTTTATTTATTGATTTAAATACAGTTTATTTTGTTGGTTTGGAAGCTAATTGCTGAGCCTTTAAAACTTTGGCAACTATTTTCTGTTCTTCAATAAGGAAAGCTCGAATAATTCTAAAAAGAAAAAAACAAATAAGTTACCATCATTTTTACCTTGCATACAGTGAAACTTCTGAACAATTGTATCTTGCAGGACTGTGCATAGCGTGGCCAAAGTTAAAAAGTGGTCTACACTTAGAATTATCAACTATTGAGAGGTTCAAATTTTTTTTATAATGCCACGAATGGTAGATTTAATCCATTAAAAGTGAATTAGCAAATAGCGGGAAAAAGAATGTTTCATAAATTTTTACCTGACTCGGTTGTTGTATGGACTTGGAACTATAAAATTAAAGGTGGAATGTTTAGACATCTCACAAATCAGTTAGAATTTGTCACAATTTACTGGAATCGGAGATGGAATCGGAGGATTGAAACATACATCGAAAACATTGAAACACTCCACACACAGGAATCGATACACATACACTATTTATTTTCTCAAGCTCAATGAATAATTAATTAGGATGCGCAAAGCGCCATCTGTGGATTGTAGAATTAAACAAAAAGGCCGATCCAACAAAGATCACTTTTTATCTTTAAGACTTAATACTTTAATGCAGCAGTTTCAAATTTCTGCCTTAAAGTTGTGAAGGGGTGATTTACTCTCCTCACACACTTTATATCAATACATTCAACTAAGGAGGGAGGGAAGTTCAGACCACTTTTTTTTTGTTGCTCACTGCTAGTTTTTTTTATTCTTTATTTTTTTGCAACAAAATGTAAAATAATTAAATAAAAATTAGATTTGAGCAAAATTGAGTACATAAAAGCTTGAGGCTCCGTGGTACCCAGTTGGAACTCATTGTTCTAATTTATGGAATTTTTGCTTGCTATAACTATAAGTATTTTGATTATTCATTTTTTCTTCTGTCATCTACATCAGTGTATAGAGTTTGAAAGATGAAAAAAATTAAATAGGTTGATAAATATTGGTAAGATACACAAGTTACTAACTTCAAGCATAGGTAAGTGATCTTCCTTAAAATGAAAACTGACTTATGATATACCACATAAGAACACTGTAACAAGATTTATGCAGACCACATGTGAAAAATAAAGGCTATTCATAGTAGGGAGGAATTAAAACTTAAAAAATCATATTCATTATTGTTTTCTGTTAAAATGTTCAACTGTGTGTTTCTTTTAAATAGTTCTGTTAAATCTAAAAATTTCAAATTTGTTCAATTCTACATTGCTCTGCATCTTTAATTAGGTTTTGCTCTCAAAACATTAGGATTATGTCTAAATACATAAACTAAAGGGGAAAAAACTTAAATTTTATTGCTAAATTACATTATAAATAATATCATTCACTGAAATAAAACCAAAGCCTGTATTATTCAAATCTTACTCACCTACTCCTTACACACTTGCCACATCTTGATCCTCCATAAGTTCGAGTTACTGTCTTGTGTCTTTTAGACAAGGCTGAGAGTTCTCTAGGTCTAGCATGAGTGATCTAAAGTGAATTAGACAACATTACTATGTATGATATACACGAATGAACAAACATTGTTTGCAGAAAATTTGTTACCAATCATAGAAATAGAACATTTTTCGGCACTACTCATATATATATAAAAAAAGAATCATAACTACCAAACAATTAATATAAGGTAATGCTGCATGCATATCACTCTTCTTCTTAGATCGTAACTTCAAGTATGTAATTTGAATATAGCATATTTTTTTGTGATAAAACATGTTAAAGCAAATCAATTCAACACTCTATGCATAATTGTATATTATAAAATGAGTAGCACAAGAAAGCAACATTTAAGTGTAGAAGAATTGAGTTGATTCTTATAACAACATTTATTATATACAGTCGAACCCGTTTATAACGAGCTCGGATTTACCGAGGGAAACGAGAATATTTGGTTGGATCAGTGTTAAGTCTATGGAACAGAAGTCGCTTTTAACGAGGCAAAACCCGGTTTTAGCGAGCAATATTTTTCTGTCTTGCAACATTTTTTCTTATTTTTCTAGTCTTTCTGTCTCACCATTTTTCAAAATGGTAAGAAATGTGCGAGAAATCGAAGGAAAAAAAACGCGAACTGAAACTTAATTGCCCTTATCGCTCTAATCTAAAGCTTTATCGGTTGACGAAAAAGTAAAAATTTTACCGGAGTTGGATAACGGTGTTAAAATTATCGAAATCCGCAAAAGGTATGAATTGCCTTCATCTACTGTTTCCACACTGCTAAAAAACAAAGGCAAGTTAATGGATGCATACAACCAAAATAAAACAGACAGTAAACGACTGAAGAAGTGTTCGAAAGAGGATTTGGACAAAGCGTTATTGAAATAGATGAAGGTGCAACGTAGTGCTAATTTACCTGTGAGTGGACCTATTCTAAAAGTGCAAGCAGAAAAATTTGCTGAACAATTTGGATATTCTGAGTTCGTTNCATTAAATTAAGAAAAGCATTTAATTAAAATAATTAATGTAATTAAAGTAAGTAAGTATTAATTAAATGTTAAGTAAACTTAATCATTTGACCTCCCTCTTCTGGTTGCACGCCTGCCTTAAGGACCCGTTTATTAAGAGCACTCGGATTTAACGAGTACATGTTACGGTCCCTTTGTGCTCGTTATTAACGAGTTCAACTGTATTAGTATAGAAATATTTGAGAAATATTAGATATACAAAGAACAAGTTACTTAGAAATAACTAATTATGTTACTTCAGAAAACTGAAAAATGTAAATCTGGTATGAATAAACATGTTGAACCAACAATTAAACATCAAATCCATGTGGTAACAAAAGGGTAAAACTAGTGACAAGAGTCAATAAATGATTTACAATTCTTACAATTTCAACTTAAATCCGAGAATTCGAAATTTGGTGCAAAAATGCCCTAAAAAATACAATTATAATTGCTTTTTTCATTTGGCACAGATCGGAACAGGCTTGGGACCTCTGATATCAAAAATAAATATCAGAAGTTAAATAATTAAAATTTATAAATTACAATTTCGAATTTGTACAGTGGTTTTTTTTCAAATTTTAAAATATCAGGTTCTATTTGGAAAAAGATTTTTAAAAAAATACTCAAAACCTACAATTTTATTTATATTTCATGCTTTGAGTCATTAAACTATTCCAGTCATTATGTATCTCAGTTTTTAACACTTCTCACTTTACGGATAATTGAGCGACTCAGAAAAATACATACCCCACGAAGCTTCAAGTGACAATCACCACATCTAGGTATTTTACCAGGTTTACCAGGATATAAATACACCAGTCTACCACCAGGAGTCTTAGAGCTGTGGAATATAAAATAACCTTAATGCTAAATTTACAAGTTAATTTAATTTAATAAAAAGTATGAATACTTTGAGGTAACAAGAATTTTAACATTTAAAAACTCTCTCACTTTAATAAAATTAGTCAGAACCAAGTGAATAAACTTGAAATAATTTTTTATACATGTCAAACTTATTAATTTTATGTTAGTAATAAAATTGAATATTACTCTAGCACAATATTATTAAAGTGACAATTGAGTAGTTTTAAATGACTGATTCACTGATTTTCACTGCTTTTAAGAATGGAAGAAAAATTTCATTGCAGTTCAAAAAATTAAACTCAACTTCTCCTAATCTAATGAATTGACCACTTTTTTTTCACCTTTCATGAAAAATACTGAGCTACATATATTACAATACAGTATCATCAAAAAATTATTATAAAAAAAAACACACACCAAGAAAACGAAAATCAAATTTAATTTAAAATCAGATAGTACAGTCTCTTAACCCTTTCGCGCCGACTGTCACATATACGTGCCAGCAAGAAACGCGCTCACTTCCCGGCCGACACACCCGCGTGTCAGAGCGTTTTCACGTTCAACCCTGGCCGTCACATATTTGTGCCAGCGTTTCGGAATGATTTAAAAAATAAAATTTCTTCCATAAGATGACTATAGGGTTTCAGATTTAGGGAGAAGGAATGTTTTATGACAGCTCTTTAAATTCGCATGTAGTATTTGTTTACAGTAAGCGGGGGAGGTTTTTTTTCTTCACTACTTTCGATTTAGTTTTTAGTGGATAGTTAGATCTTGTAGATCCCCGTTTTAAAATTTTTCATACGAAAAAAGAACTTTAAGTCATATATTTAGTTTTCAGATATGTAATGTTAAATATTATTAAATGATAAGTACATAATGAAAATAAAATGTGTAAAACATACATTTAAACAAGAAATAACTTAAGTAAATAAAGTATCCATAGAAATATATATAAAGCATATATCACTTAAATACTCTACAGAACAATATTAAACAACGCGCTGATATTTCGGTAATTTCATGGAATTAGGCTTAACATCGAAAAACCCTCCGGCCCTGGGGAGACACACGCTAGAGAGACTGCCGGCCTCAGCGGTAAGCGCGCTTTCGCGCTTTGCGTCGCGAAAGGGTTAAGGA